TCTCTCTCTCTCTCTCTCTCTCTCTCTCTCTCTCTCTCTCTACTTGAATCTTCTTTCTTGTTTGTGATTAAAGTTTACAATACTTTGATCACCTTGATCACATATAATATAGTCAGAAATAAATCTTGATCACATATAATATAGTCAGAAATAAATAAGCTACTGACATAAAACTTTTTTTATGTATTATATTTGATGTAAAGAAAATATAACGCAAAATCATCTTTATTTTACATTTAACATCTTAATTTGGATGTCAAAAACGATCTCATAGCAATTTCACCTTTTTGGCATGTTAAAATAGCTCAAGTGTTTAAATTTCGTATTCCCACCGAGTATAACTTTTTCTAGCGCATTAACCCGTAAGTCCACATTCCACTAGTCTGCGAGTAATTCAAAATAAAAAAACTATTGGGATCGGAAATAATCCCACAATGTGTCAGATTGGGATCAAAATATCGTTTTCTAATATCACCGTTTCTCTGCTGAAGACACCGAAGAAAATATCACCAGCAGCATTTGTCATCTTCGCGACTCGGATAAACACTTCATGCGGAGAAAATCCACGTTTCTGGAAAACCAAGAGATATCACGCGCATCAACACTTTCGCTAAATACATTGACAACCCTCGAATATTTTCCGTCAATGTCACCGAAAATATTAGGATAATCTACGCTCGATTACATCGATCCCCTCTCGCATCGTTACTTCGCCGCTTTTGGGATGTCCCGCAAGACGTAGGGAGACAATATCCATAGTCCTGCGAGATAGCCCTCTTATGACATGCCTTCTTTTGTACTCGGTTCGTTTCATGCATCGGCAAGCGTGGGCGCGTGGAAAAAATGCCTTCCGCGCGACGAGGATGGCGATAAAAATCGCCTCATCTAACCCACTCTGGCGTCGAAAATCCTCGATGACCGAGTTACGTGATTGATGATGCATCCAAGAGTTAGGCCGACGTTCTTTTTTTATTTCCGAAATAAAAGGTGAAAATTGCGGAAAAGAAAAGATTGTCGGAGCAATCCAATTGAATTATCTTTTTTTTATTGTTACTTTTCATTGTTACTTGTTATCGTAGCACTTGTGATTTCTAACATAATGATGTAAAACGATACGAAACATAGTGGTGCCATG